AGTTAACATATCATGCTCAAAATGGGGTAGGAAGAAGTGAGAACTTATAAACTCCTACCCCCTAAATATTCGTTTGCATTAATGCTTATCTGAGCTGTAATTTTCGGCAACAGGTCAAAACTGATTGACACTGTATCCTAGCGTGCTGGGGTATTCATTCTCCATGGTGTCTGCTCTCCCCTCTGGTGTCTTCTAATGGCTTCCCGAAGTTCCCATGTTATGTCCTGTAAATTCCAGCTCTGTCTCTGCCACTGTTCGGGTCAGTGAGTAACCAGCCTGTTGGAAAATAGGATTTTCCTCAAAGGGAACCGTGAGCTGACTATGCCCCTCCTCTTCATCATATGTGCACCGACGTCAGCGCGTAGCATGATCTCCGGTGCTTCGTCCGCAGGCTCCGTCTCCAACCGGTTTGATCACTGTGAACTCAACACCGACAGAGCCCGGGCTTTAGCAGCATAAACACTGACTGGCCTTATCAGCAGATTACCATCGGACATGGAAGCAGCCTCCTCCAGTCAGTGCAGGTAGGACGGGAAACGGTTGGATGCTGACACTGAAACGAGCCACATACTTATGTAGCCCGTGAGAGATGCGTGTTATTAGCATGTTACAGCGTCTCGACGTCGTACATTTGAAGGAAGTGATTTAAGAGCTGTTTACAGAAGCCAGCCTGTGTTGTCGTGACAGTTTATTCTAAGGATTACCGCAGCCAATCAGATATTTTCTCTGCCTATGACGTAAGCACGTTGGGTTACAGGTGGTATATTCCAACAGAATACAGACCAGAAAATCCTCAATTTTCTTTTGACACAAAGTGCATTATCACAACTTTATTTCCGGCTCAGCTGAGCACAAAGCATATGCAGTAAAACGTGTTTCAAATTCAGAAACTGGTTAAACTCGTTTGCGTGTTCAGATTACAAGAAACAATGCGCCTGTTGTCAGTAAGGCCTCCGTGAGTGCAGAAGCCCCACAGCACCACGGACAGCTCCGACCGAGACCCCGCAGAAACTGGCTTCCCGTTACTTAAGATGTCATTTAGCTTACTGGGAGATTAGCTTCGCATCTCATTTAAAAATGAATGAACGTAGTACGAATGTAAATCAAAACAAAAGGGCCAGTGATTGTAATTTAAAGCGTTTGGTTTTTAGTTACTATTCAATATAGTAAAAAAAATATTAACAGATGATGCAGCTATTTTTAAAAGTAATATGAATCAAAATAGAATATGGCCTCTGTAGATCTCCATACTTTCTTAAAACTTTCTGTGGACTTCACTGATTCACAAGAAGGAGTCCTGTTCCTTGTCATTTTGAGAGAATGTCCCTATTATTTTTGCTTTTATTTGCTTCTTTAAGCCACTTTACTTTGACCCATGATGACTCATCCAAGTATATATCAGCTAGAAGTCTGCCTACACTCTTCATCTACATAACTGTTATATTATTTGGGGCCTTCATGCCTTTATTTAAACCCCCTTTTATGGTGGAAGTATTTTTGCAACAAACAAAAGTTTGATGCACAAGTTTGAATATATTTTTGATTTTTTCGAATCCACGCAGGACCAAAGTTATACATTCTGGCTCAAATATATGTATACTCTACTACTAATGTCTTAGTGTATGTTCCCTTGAATATTACAACTCAGCCATTTATCTTTTGTCTTTTTCAAGCTTGCCATTGTGTAAGGAAATGAGATGGGTATTAAAATCTGTGCACAGTTTTTTTAACCGCTCTTTGGGAAGAGCGGTTAAAAGTTTATTGAGTTTTGCAAAGCAATCACACTTTGCTGGTAGAGTAAAGCTCCATGTTTCATGAAAATAGCAGTTTGCAAACAGATTATTTTTTTCATGGAGTGATAACACCCTTCTTCATTTTTATTATTCTTGCTTAAAATGATGGTTTTATAAACTGGCTACATATTACACAATCTGCTGCTGATGCTTCAATTCTTTAGTTTGTGGGTTTATAAATCACTCATTTTAAAAGCGACTCTCTCTTTAAGTGACCTGCAGTCTACCAATGAATGACAGCAGAAGTTAAGTTGTCACTTGTCTGTCAGCTGTCTCTGTGGTGTTTGTTTGCCAAAGTGGCATTCTACCTTGCAGATTGAAAACTCAGAAGAATAAAAATGTGCAAGTCCTTTTTTTTATAAAGTGAGGCAAGATGCAAAGCACAAAACCTAATCATCTCAGTCTGAATATATGCATGAACTGCTTAAATGTTTGCAAGAATGGATGAAAAATCACTACTGAGACAGAAAACCCATACCTGATCATTTGTTTTAAAGCTGGTTTTGAATTAGAATTAAAAAAAGAGAGAACAAGGGCAAAACCTGGAAAGACAAAGCTCCCAGGGCTACTCAGATGTAGCAGTCATCCTAGATGGCAGCTCCAAATTAGGCTCAAAGTCATCAGGCTCGCTTCCTGAAAACACTGCAGCCTGAAGTCTCACTTCGTCTTAATAACAAAGGTTCGGGTACAGAGGGAACATTAACAAGGTGATCGCTTCACGCAGATTCATGATTAGAATTACACACCGTTTCTGACTTTGTTTAATGTAGCACCTTGGGGCATTTCAAATCCAATCAACATCTGGGAAGAATGATTTGTCTGGCAGAAAGCAGAAAAACCCCAAGACTGTTACATAAGTGTATTAGTTAAACTTACTTGTACTCCGAGTTCTATGATAATCACTTGAACCGGGCCTGTATGAGTTTTTTCTTACTTTGAGATCTTTTTTTTTTTCACTCTCTGCAGGTTTAATAGTTCTTTTTGTGGCCCAAGTCAGTCCAGAGGAACTTATTTTTATCCTTATTTGGGGTGTGTTTCTTTTCACGAGAGTCTGAGTCAGCATAGTGTTTTTATTTTTCAATTTATCTACTGTAGCTGATTATTTCTTCATTCAGTACACTGCATGTTCATTTTACGGAAGTCTCTCTTTCTCTATACTGTGTACCTCCACAGTTGCTGTCATCTGCTAAATAATCCCACCAGCATTCTCAGAACCTTTGTACTTTGTCATTCGTAGCATTCAGAGTTGAAAAGCACACACATTCCTATTAATGTAAAAAAAAAAAAGTTTATGCTTTGCACAATTAATGCAATTAATGTGACACATATCATGAACAACTTTACTGTGTTTTTGCACCTTTTTGATTCAGTTTCAGGATCCAGTCTTCTCTGCTGGTGGTCTATGAGCATCCTATTTGCTTACTATCTATTGCGAAAAAAATAAAGCCACTATATATTTCACTATGGCAATCTTTTGTTGATACACAGTGATGCGTTTGAAATACTGATCGAAATCTTCCAGTTTGGTTTAAACACCTTCCTCAATAAGGTTTAAAGCATACGCCTTGCCCTGTTCATTAGAAGAACACAAGAGATTCCTGTCACTTGCAGAACACCACCAGTTGTTTGCTGGAAACCTCCTTTCTGTCCGTCAGTGTTGCTACCAGTCTATTGCCTGACCAGTTTCCGTTGTGTCTTTTCATCCACTGTGAAAAGATGCTCAGTGGGCTGTCACTGTCGACCATTTTGGTGTGAAATGTTTTGTACTCCAAACTAGGACTGATACCTGTGTATAATGAGATCCTTTTAAATATTTATCAGTTCTCTGCAAACTATGGGTTTGGCTAAAGAATGTAAATGAGCAAATCTCAGTGAAATCGTGCAATGGGAGCTGAACTGTACTTTGGGATTAGTAAATTAACCGTATTTGATTTTAGAACGACTCAATGCATAATTTAAATTAGAAGGTGTTTACACAAAGTCTCACTTTTAGGGTGTGCACACTTATGCAACCAAGTAATTATACCCTTTTTATTAATCATATTTTGATACTGACAGATTTGTATGTTTTTTGTTGAATTGCACAGAATGTGTCAAAATAAGGAAGAGAACTGTATGAAATGATCATTGTTTTGGTCTCATCTAAAAAACTGGTGTTTTAATGGGGTCTGTACATCTTTTAGACCAACAGCAAATGCTCCTTATTAATATTTATAGTGTTGAATTTTTCACCAATCAGTGTCTACCACAATTATTCAGAGATGTGTTTGCATTTTCAGTTACAGCTATGAAGAGTACAAAGAGACTGCGGACTGGCTGCTGTCGCAAACAGAGAATCGTCCTAAAGTGGCCATCATCTGTGGTTCAGGCCTGGGCGGTCTGGCCGGGATGCTAGATGACAAGAACATATTCCCATACAGAGATATTCCACGTTTCCCCACCAGCACTGGTAAGATGCTTATTTTCTTATAGATTGATTTATTATGGAATATGACCA